TTTCGTCTTTTTTTTTATTATTATTATTTTTTGCATGTGTGTTACGTGTTGTTGCAAAAACAACCCCCTCCCTCCCCCTCCAAAGGTGGACGTGTTTTTTTCCCAAGCAGGTCTCGCACAAAATAAAGTTGGATCGTGTTTCGTGGTAAATCCTGCTTGGGGGGGGGAGGGGGAGAGAAAAGGTAAAATCGGGAAGCGAGCAAAAAATAATGACACTTGAGCAGCAACGGACCTTCTTAGTATTCAACTCCTGTGGATTTATTGTGTTTTGGGTGGGTTTTTTTTCTTCCCCTTGACTGCGTACATCCGCGTATTTCAAAGAAAAGCCGAATAGAGGTTGCTTTATTAAAAATCCATGCAGCTAATTAATTGTACGTGGGCAGGGGAGAGCCGCTGGCGTGTAACTTGTTCACTCGGGGTGTGTTTGCTTTGGAAAAGAGGATATTTTAAGAGAGATCGCGGGGAAAAATATTTGGATCCATGTCGGGGAAGAAGCACAGCTCTGTGTTTCAGTCTTGTTGTCGGGGTTTTTTTAATAAATAAAAAAAAGATAGAGGCGCTGGTAGGCATTTTAACAGGTGGACTTCCCAGCCCTAGGGATTTATTTTGGTTGAGGCTTTATCCCTTCTCCGGTCGATGAGGTCTTATTGCCCTGATGGGTTTGACTCGAGATCCTTTTTTTTTTTTTTTTTTCCTTTTGTGTTTCCAAGTATTGGACGGTAATATCTCCATGAAACGCCGTGTGTGTCCTGCATGCCAAGTTCAAGGCAGGTGACTGCTTGGGTGTAATGTCACACTTGGGAAAGGGGGGACATACATGCAAGTGTCAAGGCTTGCTGTATAAAGAGCGATGTCTTTGCAGGCACTTGGCAAAATCACATTCAATGCGAAGAAATTTAAAGATGGAAATAAACTCTCTTGGTAGGAATGGTAAATAATGACTGCTGGATCTTTGTAGGGGGTCTGGAGCACTACACATATCCCCTGTTAAAAACTAGAGGGGCAGTGACCCATCAGACTTGTCTAAAATGTGTTGGAGGTCTGTATGCATTAGCAAACCTGTCGAGGGGGTTAATTTCTACGGAGAACAGGTTTGGTTTGTAGGGTTTTGATATCGAACATGCTCCTGACTCGGAGGCAGAGTTAGTGTGGGACTGGGCTAGAGCCTGGGGGGGTGAAAGTGAAACATGTGGAAAAGCAAAACTGAAATTGAAGACTTGGTTTTATTTGTCTTAATGGAGCTGTAAAAAGAATATGTGCACTATCAGAAATAGATTACTATTTTGCAAATTCTCAGTTGCCACTCCTTACAGGTTTAGATATGCATCAGTGTATAAGACAATCTATTTAACCTTGTTTTAATAGGTAAATTCAGTTATGATGGTACATTATTAGTAATTCATATTTTATCTGGGGTCTCTTTTTGGATGTGGAAATTCAAATAGAAAGCTACACTAAAAACACATCCTAGAGAGAAAATTATGTCTTTGTACTTTGAGAGTGGAGGAAATAAAAATTCATTTTGCATGTGAGTCTGCATTCGCATACTCTTTTTCTATCACAGTTGATTAGAAAGATAATTATGTATAAATAGTTGTCTCTTGTAATTGGCCTTTGCCTCTTGCTGGAGTCATTCCGTAATGTCACAGTTTGGTGTTTACTGTTGTGAAATTGATATGGATTTCGCAGCGCCTGGACTGTGACATCTGAGGCAGAAGAAGGAAACCAAAGAGAAAAGGGTATGCTGTGTCGATCCATTGGCAACACACCATCTGTTAACGATGTGCACCCATACAGTGCTTATTCTGTCCCAAAAAAAAACTTCAGAGCACCTCATAGAGATGATCCAACAATGACCAGATCGAGAGGAAATCCATTCCTGCACTAAAACACAGCCGCCTCTGGGGCAGCAGCTGTAGGTCAGAAGAATATTGTGGCCAGCTGAATGTAGAGAGGGAAGTGCTAGAGAAGAAACCACGTGTAATCTATGTATGTAAGGACCATGAGTCTCTAAGTCATTTAATTCCTAGTTACCACATACTCACTCCTAGCAGATCTTGGACACCCCTGAGAGGATGAAAGTGCAGAGTGTGGTGGGTTGACCTTGGCTGCCCACCAGTGCCCACCAAGCCGCTCCATCGCTCCCCCTCCTTGACAGGACAGTAATGACCATGGAAGGCAGTCAGCGTAAACACCATAGTTTTAGCCTTATGAAAGAAGCCTTTACTTCCTTGACGTCGTATCTCAAACTTCACCTTTAACCGTTTCACTTGTTGGGCGTGCTCGGTAGGCAGAGAAACCCTTTGCATAGCACCTCGTCGCTGACCTCTCCAACTCTCTGTTGTGGTTTTTTTTTCCCCCTCATTTTTTTCCAGGCCCTTTTCTTTCTTTTACGTTGCTGTGTTAAGCTCGATTCTAGTTTACTTATTGGGTTGTTCCTCCTCTTGTGCCCTCGAGACAGTTGTGCTGTACAAATAAACGGCACATAACAAAAAAAAGTTTGGCTTCCAGGAGACCTCTCTGATCCTGTAGCTGTTTTCTCAGAGGTGCAGGTGTGCTGCTTGCGGGAGGAGGAGCTGCTTATGCCACCCTCCATTTCTGTTGTGCCTTTTAAGTGAGTTCCCCAAAGTTCTCTTCCATAAGTTAATCTCTACCTCGCTTTTGGTGAGGCAGGTAAACATAAAAACCAGTTTACAGAGGGAGCAGCTGAGAGTGCTGGGAACTGGGAGGGTGCTAAAGGAGTTAGGTGGGGAGGTGGCTGTTTCAAGACACTGAATATATTGTTCAGTCTTGAGCGATTTGCCGAAGGACAAAGTGTGTGCCAGTAGCAAAGTCAGAAATAGCATCCAGGAGAGCTGCCTTTAGACATTATTTTTTTTCTTGGACTTACTATTCCCTCTGTAAACACATGTAAACAAAGTTCTGGTTTTACTGAACACCTGCCTGGGATTACAGTAGAGATATATTTTACCTTCATGGCAAAATATTCTTTTATTTGAAAAAGAAATTCAATGTTGAATTATTATTTTTTTTTATCCTGTAACATCTCTGAATACCAGATGCTAATGTTTATCCTTAGGGTCATCACAGACATTAGTTTCTATAGGTGAATATCCTAAGGTGTCCCTGATCCTCCTTTCTTCAGAATTCAGAGGCCAATGACACCAAGGTGAGTCGGTACAGCTGAACGATGCAGCCCTAATGTACATTGCTGATTTGCTGATTGAGGTGAAGTTTGAAAGTTTCTCTTGGTCTCTGGGAAGGTAAAGTTTTCGTTATAAATCTGCTTTCCATCTGTAAAGCAAGAAGCCAGATAATTGGCATCTGGTGGGATAATTCGCTGTGAAAATGAACACAGTAATTTAGGGCAGGCGTAGCTATTCCCTAAAATCTGTGAAATATTTGAGCTGAGTCTCTTCAGTATGAGCAAAGTTGTTTGTTGTTTTTTTTTTAGGAGGTGCTGATACACAGCACGTTTTCTGTGGTTAATTTGATGTACATGAAATAAACTGCAGATATATTGATAAATTATGTAGTAAAACTGTAGCAATGTGTTCAGTGTTCATTTTTTCCAGATCACTTGAGTTCTAATTTTTTTTATCGTTTTTCATTCCAGATTACCATCATGAGATATATAAGATCTCTGACTACAGCAATGATGTTAATGGGGAGACCAAAGAAACACAACCAGTTTTTTTAGGTATGTGCTTGTGTTGATTAATTTCCGAGCAACATAGCGTGGCCATTTGCAATTAGGGAGGAAAAAAATCTCTGTGCAAGCACAGGAAGCGCCTGCCATTGTTTAATATGACGTTCTTTTCAAGACCCTTTTATTCCACGAATTGCCAATATATCCTTTATTAACACTGCTAAAAGTTGTAATTTCAGACATAAATGTTTATTAGTGTCTACACACAGTGCTAATTATCACTCACTCAGAGAGCCAGATGCTGACTCTGCAGTTTTGCAGCTCTGTGCTCACCCCATTTACATTGCATATTCGCTGGCATGCTTCACTGGCAATAGTTTGTGTAATTGGGGTATTACATCTTTGACATCTGGATAACAGAAATTCAATTTCCAGGAAGCTGCTATTTGTTTGGTTTTGCTTCTGCCTTGGGTGGGATAGAGGATTAATGTGCTGTCTTAATGTAATGTCCTTTCACCTCTGTAGCCTGCCTGCTAATCCTGTCATGGCAAAATGAAATTAAATCAACAGTTAAAAATGTGTAAAGAAAACAGAGAAGTAATATAGAGTCTGTAGCATGATATGTACTACAGCATGATAGAACTGGTTATCAGTGAACCTTTATCTTTCCTATCTGTGTGGTTTTTTGTCCTGTGTAAGTCCTCAGCTGCAGAGTGCTTCTTCCTTTCCTGCTTCCAGCCCCCTCCTGTCGCATCTAGGACCTCACCTGGGTGCTGCACCTCTTGGCAAAAATTGGGTGGGCCAAACTCAGAGGAGTAAGGGCCAGATTTTGAGGTACAATAATGACTCATGCCTTATAAAGCAAGCTCTTGGACACCCTGATCAGGCTTTGGAGAATGCAGGTGCCTTTGCAGTGAGAAATTTGGGGGTGTCTGCCTCACCTTAACTGCACCAGGAGCCTAAACGTTTTTGTAGGGTGATTTGAGGTTTCTGTAGTCTGGGCATGTTGCCCCCTGGAGCCAGCAAGAAGCATTGGTCCTGAGTGTGTGAATCAGCAACTGAACTCAATCTGCACGCAGAATGCCTGTGTCTCCTTAATTCATAGTGCCATATCCTCTTCTAGAGGTCAGCAGCAAATGGGAGAGAAAAAGAGGATGTCTTGGACAGTGTGGAATCTTCTGATGGTTGGAATATTTACACGGGGGTGAGAGCTGCTTTAAATTCCCTTCTCAGCTTCTCACCATTAGGATTTTGAGCAAATATTTCTTCCCTAGGGAGAAGCAAAGGTGGCTGCTGTGCTTTGTGTTTGGATTTCATGTTCTGTAAGCACTTTTGGTGAAGTCTGATAAACCCGATGGAATGACCACCACCAGAGGTTTACATTGAATGCTTTCTCTTCCAACCCTAAATCATGATAAAGCTTTGGCAGGAGTTACCATCTAGCTGCTTAAGCCAGGATGCTTCTAAGAATGTGCAGGAGTCTGTGCTTCAACATCTGTGCCATGGGTCAGCCCAATTGATTTTGATTTTGGTTTGGCTGTGTTGTCTTTTGGGTTTGCTTTGGTGAATTTTATCAGTATGCCCAGCTTTTCATTGTGACTGAACATGCTCTGACATTTAAGTGCCAAAAATTCACCTATTTCAAGAGCCGGTCAGATTTTAACCTTTAAGAATATGAGTCGTATCAAGGATCTTCCTTACCAGGTACTGAAGCACAGAGTTGCAGTCCTGGCAGCCCACCTTCAGTTGCTATGGAAAGAAAAAGGTGCTATTTCCTGACGACATCCTGAGTGTCCAGCTTTCAGATTTCCTCAAAGCATGTTGGTTTTGACAAGACCAAATGATGATCATGCAAGATTTGTAGGCTAGACTGGGGGTTTTTTTCCCCTTCGGAGTTGGGTTCAATTCAGTAAGTTATTCAGAGCTCACATAACCTTTTCCACTTTATTTTCAATAGGTTACTTTGGTGTCCGCTTCTATCCAGATTCCTAGTGACAAAGGCAATGATCTGAGATAAAAAAAAGACTGAACTCGGCCAAAAGCACTTGAAATCTGGGCTCTCACCTTTCGGCAGGGACCTGTTTGGCATTCCAGCTTTCCTTTAAAACATTTCACATTGCATGGAGTAATATTGTGCTTCAGGGATGGTGAGATCACACCACTTTCCCCAGCTAGGTGTCGTGTCCACTAATAAGGTGCTTCAGGGTATAATCACTGATTCACTTGATTTCATTGTTTTATGCCAAAATTCATCCCAGGAAGACTTTCACTCCAACTTGTTGGTTTAGAATTGTTTGTTTTCCAATTTAGGTGTTTGAACTGATCCAGGGGATCAGCTGTTGAAACATCAATGGGATGCAGGCTTTAGTGTGTGAATGAATGCTAAGATACGTCATCGAAACTGTTACCTTTAGAAAAGGTGAAATGTTAATGCCAGTATATAAACGAGTGAAGCTTAATCTGGAATAGGATGTGCGTATGTTTTGGATGCACAGTCGAGAACGGTAAACTCAAACTGAAGAGGTGCACTGTTGAGAAGAGTGGGGTAAATGAGTAAATCAGAAGAATCCAGTTTATTTAAGGTGGAGATAAATTAAGGATCAAATGTCAGAAAAGACCCATTGAACCTAGATGGTTTTTTTTGCACCAGCACAGATGGGCAAAACATGGCTTTGTGTAAATGTAGGCTGAAAACTGGAGGAAGCTTCAGCACAATTAGAGGAACATGATACTGGACGTGAGCTCTGACGGTTGCGATGGTGTAGAGGCCAATTGCTTTTTGAATGGAGCTTGGGAAGTTCACTCATGTGATGTGGTGTCGGAGTGGGAGACACGGTGGCTTGTCCTCTCTTCCAATCCTTTGCTCGGATAAGATGATAAACAAGAAGTCACGGCCTTCTAGACGAAGGACGTACTAAACAGAGGCTTTACAAAATTCAGGGGGGAATATTGCTACTGCATTTTGCAGATGAGGACTGGCATCTGTTTTGTTTTGAAAGGACAGGCTTAGTTATCTGATACCAGGAGACTGCTCGACCTGAAAAGGAGGCGGCAGCCCAGAGTGAAATGCTTAAACCTCAAATATGGACAAGATCTAAGACAGTTCTGACTTCAGCTTTTACCGGTTATCAGCATAAACCTTCTGTCACAGGGCTGCTAGCCCAGCCTTGGAAATACAAGCCCATGAGGGGATTGTACACCCATGTCTTGTGGATAATGCTGGTTAAACCTAGTTTGTCTATTAAAAAATATCTTTTGCATACACAACATTGGGTTTTTTCAGTCTTAATATTTTATTATCATCACAAAAAAGAGGAAGTATAATATACCTCCAGACTGAGTGTTTTTACAATGCTTTCAACTTGAAATTCAGGCTCTGTGTTTGAAAGGTTAATGTAGAAAACTAATTATATTATCCTGGTAACCAAATGTGTGATGAGACATTTGTCTGTGTAATTAACAGTGAAGAACTTTTATAGTTTCATAAAATCGAATGCTACGCACAGTGTGCTTGCAGCATTTGTTTTGAAGAGATGTCCAAAACAGAGATGTTTATGACTGATATAAAGTGGAACTGAAATGTACTGTAATGCAGGTGTCTGTGCATTTTACAGCATTTCGCATTGTTGAAATGGAAGGCAGCAGATTAATAACTTCGCTATGTCATGGTAAAAATAAATAATGTGTTCTTGGAGCAGGGCAGCGATGCATAAGTTACTCACTAATTTCAAGAATTTATTCTGTCCCAGAAATAATATCCTTTGCAATTTATTCACAGAGGAAAAGTTGACTTAACACAAGTCTGTGAAGTTACTTGTTATTTTTAATAGAATTATATCCCAAGTCTGATTGTTGCAATGGTACCTTCTGTAATTAAGACTGCATAAAAGTTTATTTTATATATCCGTGTCCTCCAATGATTTAACTTTGTAAAGCATTTCCCTTTGGGGCTGAAGCATAATCTTGACCTGGGATATTTCCAAGAACTAGGGGAAGTTGTTGTATATCTATTATTATTATTTTAACTGTATGACCCCATTAATATTTACATTTATTGAATAGTTGCTCACTTGTCCTTTCCTGAGTGATTTAGCTGTTGCAGTGTGGCATGAAAGTGTGTAACTTACACTTCTGTATGTGTTCCTGTGGGGTGTTTTGAAACTGTTTCACCAAACTCTTCAAAATTTGTGCTGCTCTCCAGGCCACCTAGGCTGATCCAGCTTCCAGAGAAATAACCCCTCAGGTCCTGAATGGTCCCAGGGTCTGATCCTGGTTTTTATTCTGAAAATTGCTTTGCTGGAATTAGTGTTTGTGATGCTTGTTAACTTTCTGTGCCCCATTGTATGTCCCTATAAGTTAAACTTAGGGTACTCAAAGTCCCCGGCTCATAACTCAGGTTGCTTGCGTGACCCTCTGACATGATTTGTGACCGCTGCTCTCCCTGCTGACTTGGGGCTTAGGTTTTTAATTTACAAAGCATGTTGTTGCCTGTGTTACTTGTTCAATAGAGGTTCTTACATGCCAAAAAGACTGGGGATCACTTATTTGAGAAATGCATGCTTACCCCATCAATTTAGCTACACAGATGCCAGATTCAGATTACCCACAGAGCAGTCACAACAACTTTCCATGTGATTTAGGAAACCTTTGATCTGATAAGGAATCATGCACATGGCTCCTTTATTTTCCCCATGCTGACCTTCACAATTTTCTGTTTCAGGACCACTTGCGGTACAAGATGGCAAAAATGTCTGTGGGTATAGTTTTTGCTGAGAAGGGATGCCTAGCTCCCTTCTAGGATAACTGTCCTTTAAGAAGATACTTGAATACCATGTAACATTCAGAAAGGTGTTTTGGGGAGTTCCGCCTGGCTGTGCAGCGGAGACGTGTGCCGTGCGCGCACGTGCCTCACGATTCCTCGAGCTGCTCTGAATTAGCCCTTACAAAAATCTTCAAACACGGCAGCCGAGTTTTGCTGGCCTCCTTCCAGGAAGGGCAGCATTCAAGTGGTGTCTAATAAACTGGCATTTAATATGTTTGATTATATAACCCATTGCAATTATTTATTACTTTTTATTGAGCTTTCAAGCCATATGCATCGACTTCCACTTTTTCTCACCTCTGAAGACTTGTTTCTTTACAACCCAGGCTAATGTTGTCAGCTCACATGTGCTTGTCTAGCTGTCTGTCGCTGCCGCTCCTACCCTCCCGATAACTTCTGAGCTCATCCACCAATTTCAGCCTAATTTGATACAAAGGTAGAATTCTGAGAGATACAAAGTACTTTTGGATATGGTTGCAGGTAATTTTATCATTCTTTGTAGCACTATGATAATATTTGACAAATTATTTGGAAAAGGATAATAACTTGTTTGTAGACAGTGTGTTGTATTTATATTAAGTTTAATAAACATAATAGTGAGCAGATGGTCAGACGTATAGGGGCAAAGAATGGAATTAATGAATTATCAATAATATTTTGTTAACTGGAGTTGTTTACAGGGCTGTTGGTTTAGACAGGTGCACACTTATTATGTGGATGCTACTTCATCCTGGGACAGTTCTGGTTTACATTTGTGCATTTGTAATTTTTAACATTTTTACAACTTGCAAAGCGGGAAGTTTTTATACTGTGCACACTTTCAGTAAGGAAAGAGTTTGAAATTAATTTTAGGGAAATTGCTTTTTAAGAACACTTGATGTAGAATTTATGAAGGGGCTTTGGTTTGCCTTTTTTTGGTTTTCAAGATTACAGTCAGGCCATGTGGAAAAAAATAGGTTGTATATAAGGGGCCATGATAGAAACGACTATAATAGTAATTTTAAAAAATTGTTAACATGTTTTTGTTACGACTGTTATCATCTTTACATATAAGTTCCTACGTAGGGCTATAATTTGCCATGCTTACCTATTTTGAGTAGTGTTTTGGAAGTATTTTAGTGTTTTGCAAGTAAATTCATTGGTTTCAGCTAAAACCAAAGGGATTATATGGGGAATCCAAATACCAAAACCTGTCTCCTGCTGGTCAGGGCCATCCCCATCTCCTCGAGAGAGCTGGAGACTCCCGGTATGGGTACAGGGAGAGGCTGAAACATGCACCACTCCTCTCAGGAGGCTTTTCACAATAGGTAATGAATATTTTTATGTAATAAACTAATTTTTTGTGGTGCTTGATTATCCCATTCAGCATTTAAAAAGGAAGGCTGGCTCTTCCCTAGGACACAGTAGCTTGAGCTGTTTGGTTTTCTCTCTGTGCCCCATTTTTTTTTTTTTAAAGTTTTTAAATTATATGGTTATTATCTGTGAAAATCATCAGCAGTGGAATAGCAAATAACAAAACGCTATCAATGGGCTCTAGAGCTAATAGCCAAATGAGATAACTAGGGAGCAAGAAGTTAAATCTGTTACTGTTCCTGTGCCTGCCTGCAGATTCAGACAGTGTAATATCAGCTACTCTCCGCTTCTGTCGGGAAAGATGCTGCTGTCGCTGGCCAGTTACAAATTAAAAGCTGTAAAAAGTCATGATTGGGAGAGGGGGGATGTAAACTTGCACTGAAACTAAGCCAAGCTTATAGCCTGTATGTTGTTAATGCCCTTCCTTACAAAACAGAAGACACATTTTGGGAAAAAACAAACCAAAAACAAGCCAACAACAAAAAAACCCTAAAAACCAACAACAAAAAACCCCCAACAAACAAGTTCACAAAGAGGGAATCTCCCAGTTAGAAGTAGAGAGCTACCTAAACGCAAAGACATGCTTATGTAGGATGCAAGTTCAGGGTTTGCTGTAACATAAATATGGGGGTTTTTTTCTGCTTGGAAGTAAGTATGCTCATGTCGCTGTATAGGAAAGCCTCTATAAGAGAAGAAACAAGGGACCTGAATCAAGGCTGAATAAGCTCAATTAACGTTAATATTTTATGTAATTGGGTAAGGGGAATTTAATCTTTCCAACAATGTGTCACCCGACAAGCATGCAGTCACTACACCTGGCAGGAGGAGGTGAGTGGGAAGCTTTTTTTTTATATTCTGATATATTTTGCTATTGAATAGAAATCCAAATTGCCAACATAAAACTCTGAGAGCCCGGTGTACTGCTAGATGGTACAACAGTAAGGGATTGCTTCATGCTGCGGTGTCATGGGAGCGTTTGGAGCTTGGCTATGGGCAGATACAGCCACGTACAGGAGAAAGGCAGGCTTCAGTGTATGGGTCTGAGTATCTCGATAACTGCAGCCCAGTGGTACTTTGCAGCCTCTTGAGGTTGGGAACCGCAAACAGCCAACCCCTGGTTGGGTTGGGGCCAAAAAGAGTCAATTTAGAAGAATTGGTGCTGTGATTTGTTAATTAAATCACACCCACACACATAATCTGCCGGCAAACCAGTAAAATAAATACAAAGCAGAACTTCCTTGGGCTTTTCTCGCCACTTTAGCTGGAGTGGAAACAGTGCTACAGTATCGCTCTACAGGGTTGACAAATTTTTTTCTAAGTTTGGACTAGGAGCTTTCTTGCAAACCGCCCACTCTCCTCGCTAGATCGGGGTGGGCTGGAGCCAGCTGGCGCCGGCCCAGGGAACCAGTGCGCCAGGTCAAGTGGGAGATGCTCTGATTCAGCGGAGGCTGGAGCGGATCTTACAGCTCGTCTCCCCTTCTGCTTATTCACCTTCTGGAGCAAAAACTACCTCTTTCGGGTACCACGCATCCTGGGTACACCGGCCTTGCAGTGTGTCCCAGCCATGTTGAGCTTGGTCCCTGTTGGAGAGAGGGTTGCTGCTCTTTTAGCTGTCTTGTTTAGCCAGTTACCTAAGCGCGCGCCTAAGTTTAAGCAACTGAATAGTGCTGTTGAGTTGATACAATTGTTCACATGCTTAGCATCAGCACACTTTCAAACACCTTGTTGAACCGGAGATGATGCACGTTGCATCTTGCTTTCTGGAGCATAATTATTTTTTTTTTTCTTCTGAAGTTTCCTTTGCGCTGTTGTTTTGCCAAAAATAGGTTTATTTTGGAAAGTGCGAATGTAAATTGAATAGAGGATACCAAGTATTACTGTATGAAGTATACTATAAAGGAAGGTTGATTCATCAATTTCTTGATCTTCGTTATTCCGTTTGCTCAGGATGTTTGATTTTTCTATTACCAGTAAAAAAAATCAGGAGATTCTTATTTCAGAAAGGGCTATGAACACTTCCTTATTACTAGTGAATTGTAATGTATGCTTTAACGAGCAAAATAGCTACTATCTACCCAAAACACATATATTCATTGTGCAATCAGCAGTTTCGTATGTAAAATTAATACTTAAATGGTGCCAGGAGTATTAAAGTATGTAATTGTTATTATTTAAATGCCCTGAATTTATTTGGAACCATCACATTTTTCTTGTATGTATTTTCATAATCTACATTTTTAAGACAACCAGCAGTTAGGCTATATATGGTTATACGCATATTAGCTGCTTTTTAATTTATTCCTGTATAATCCAGTATTATTAAATTTTGTGGACTAAGGAACTGATCTTGTTCATTAAAATCAATAGATGCAGTGTTCCTCTGTGTATGTGTGTGGTGCTTTTTGTGTTGTGGGGGTTTTTTTTGTGGGATCCATCCTTCAGCATATCGCAAACTGATATAAAAAGGGTCTGATCCTTTAGGCTTTACGCAGGAAAATATCCACTGATGTCAATGCCTGAATAGGATCAGTTTCTTAAAAGGATAGTTTATTTAAAAATGCTCGAGCTATTATTATTTCCTTCTGGAGGAAAATAATCTTACTCACCCAAGCTTTAGAAATGGCATCAAGAAAGCCAAGTTCAGCA